GGGGGCTGGAAGCAAGGGGGGGGGAACCCGGCCAGCACCACTTGCTTTCCCTCCCCAGCTGGAGGAAGGGAGGAGAAGGAGGAGGAAGGACTTTGCCTTCCTCTTCAAGGGCTGATGACTGAGAGCCCTGATGGGCTTTGGGGTGCCCTGGCAGAGGCACAGGGGGGCTCTAATTTCTTCCCTGGCTCCCAGCTGGAGAAAAGGAGGAGGAGGAGGAAGAGCTTTGCCTTTGTCTTCAGGGTCTGATGGGTTTTGGGGTCCCTTGGCAGAGGTGCAGGGGGGGCTCTAATCTCTTCCCTGGCCCCCAGCTGGAGGGAAGGAGGAGGAGGAGGAAGAGCTTTGCCTTTGTCTTCAGGGTCTGATGGGTTTTGGGGTCCCTTGGCAGAGGTGCAGGGGGGGCTCTAATCTCTTCCCGGCGGCCCAGCCGGAGGGAAGGAGGAGGAAAAAGGGGTTTGCCTTCCTCTTCAGGGGCTGGTGAGAGACTGAGAGCCCTGCTGGGCTTTGGGGTCCCCTGGCAGAGGCGTGGGGGGGGCTCACCCTTCTTCCCCCCACCCCTCAATCCAGCTGCTTTCCTGGGAGACATCGCCCTGGACGAGGAGGATCTGCGGCTCTTCCAGGTGGAGCGGGTGGTGGACCTGGCCCGGCACAGCATCACCCGCCTGCCCACCAACTCCTCGGGTAAACCACAGTTCCCAGCCTTCCCCCGGCCACCCCTGGGGTCACATCCCTGCTGATTGTCCCCCGTCCCCTCCCCACAGGCAGCAATGCCACCCGTGCCAACCCCCGGCGGAGCCGCCGAGCGGCCACGTCCCGGCCGGAGAGAGTGTGGCCAGATGGGGTCATTCCCTACGTCATCAGTGGCAACTTCAGCGGTGAGGGCAGGCTCAGGGTGGTGGGATTCCCCCCCCCAAATCCCTGGCGTGCCTCAGTTTCCCCAGGCTGGGCTGATGGCCACCCCTGTCCCTGCAGGCAGCCAGCGAGCCATCTTCCGGCAGGCCATGCGGCACTGGGAGAAGCACACCTGTGTCACCTTCCTGGAACGGAATGATGAGGACAGCTACATTGTCTTCACCTACAGACCCTGTGGGTAAGTCAGGGGGGGGTCCCAGGTTGTCTACGGAGACCCCCCTTGCCCCCCATGGGAGGTGGCTCCTCGGGTGAGGAGCAGCAAAACACCCACCGCGTTGTGGGGTCAACCTGGACAGACACCTTTGGGTTGGGGGAGGGTTGGGGGGTCGAGGGGGACCCGTCCCCAGAGGGTTGGGTGGTCAGGGGGTCTCAGGGGCAGGGGCTGGGCTGTACTCAGCACTGGTGAGGTTGCAACTAGAGTACTGTGTTCAGTTCTGGCCCCTCACTACAAGAAAGACATTGAGGTGCAGGAGCACGTCCAGAGAAGGACAACGAAGCTAGTGAAGGGTCTGAAGAAAAAGACTTCTGAGGAGTATTTGAGGAAACTGGGGTTGTTTAGCCTGGACAAAGGGAGGCAGAGGGAAGACCTTACTGCTCTCCACAACTACCTGAAAGGAGGTTGTAGTGAGGTGGGGATTGGTCTCTTCTCGCTAGTAACAAGTGATAGAACAAGAGGAAATGGTCTCTAATTGCACCAGGAGATGCTTAGGTTAGATATTAGAAGAAACTTCTTCACTGCAAGGGTGATTAAATGCTGAACGGGCTGCCCAGGGAGGTGGTTGAATCCCTGGAGCCACGTGGATGTGGTGCTGAGGGCCATGGACTTGGTAGAGTTGGGTTTGTGGTTGGACTCGATGATCTCGAAGGTCTTTTTCAACCAGAGGGATTCTCTGATCCTGTGGGTCACACCCCAGCGTGCCAGGCCAGGCCATGCCAGGCAGCCCAGGGCCAGGAGCTGAGCTCTCCCAGTTTCCCAGTGGCTGGAGGCACAGCTGGAGCTCCTGCCCCTGCCAGGGGCGGGGGGGGCTGCAACTTCCGACCAACCGAGGCACCAGGGCTGCTTCCCAGGGGGAGCAGGACCAGGGGATGGATGTTCCCAAGAGCTGGGGCTCAGCCACCTGCCCCCCCACCAGGTGCTGCTCCTACGTGGGCCGCCGAGGAGGGGGACCCCAGGCCATCTCCATTGGCAAGAACTGTGACAAGTTTGGCATCGTGGTGCACGAGCTGGGCCACGTCATCGGGTTCTGGCACGAGCACACGAGGCCCGACCGGGACGACCACGTCTCCATCATCCGGGAGAACATCCAGCCAGGTAAGGACCAGCCTGCCTCCTCCTCCCTCCTCCTCCCTTATCCCTCTTCTCCCTTCTCCCTTCTTCCTCTTCTCCCTTCTCCTCCCTTCTCTCTTCTCCCTCTTCTCCCTTCTCCTTCTTCTCCCTTTCCTCCCTTCCTCCCTTCCTCCCTTCCTCCCTCCCTTCCTCCCTTCCTCCCTTCCTCCCTTCCTCCCTCCCTCCCTCCC